TAATCGATTAAATAATCGATCGGTTATGACCGGTCATTTAACCTTAAATAACCGACCGCGGTCAACCGGTTGACCGTAATGACTGACCGTGACCGACCGAACCCATCCCTAATCCAGACTCTGCTAGGTCATTGCTTTCTGCTTTGATTATATGTCACGGATGACGAAGCCACCACAAACTGCTGAAAATGATGCTCTCCTTGAGAATGTGTTGGTAATGATCGTATGTATATTAACGCGCATTCCGGTATTTATAATTGGCGCACCAGGGTATGTGTAGTGGCCAATTTCATATTTATAATAATTTACAATCGATAGACCATAATCTTCTTGTATGTATATACAACTTATTAATGTATTCAGAGCGTCAAAGTCCTTGGCCATTCGCCTAGTTAGTCAAAACCTTCGTGGATCTGATTCAGATGATCCTTATTTCAGGAGTCTCCCTCAAGTAAACGAGTTATACTATTGAAATTTGAGAACTTCGAGGCTATTTTATATTTAATAGAAGTGCAATTTATTTAGGTTTATGTAATTCCACAACAAGGTTCATCATCGTCAACATCAGATGGTATCGTCAAAGTATTTGATAAGGCTAATGACTATCAAAAGGGAAGTTCGGATGAATTCCCATTAATAACAGTTGTCTTACTTGATGAAAGTAAATAAACTTTTAATATTTTTTCAATTTGTTCTTTGTTTACTTTGAAACTGACATTTTTTATGAAAGTCAGATTGGCAGAGACAAGTCTATATAATCCATTAAAAGTTTTACATTTCTTGCTTGAACCAAGTTATCCTGCAGAACTTCTAAATGTTTCTGTCATCGGGATTAGTAATTGGAGACTTGATAATTCTAAATCGAGCAGAACTTTAATAGTGCAAAGGTTTGTGATAATTCTAAAATATACATGACTATTCTCATCATTGCACAAGTTTTATCATTCAATTATTGAATAAGTTAGACCAAAATTCAAGCAAAGTGATTACATTGACACTGCAAAACAGTTATTAGAAAAAAATAAATTGAAAACTTGGAATGATATTCGTAGTGAAAAGCTTCAAGCTGGCAAATTCCTATTTTGAATATGAAAAAATCAACCAATTCCTAATTTTCATGGACTTCGAGATTATTATTCTTTTATTAAAAGCCTTAACAGTGGAGAAGTATGTATTTTATTCAGAAATTGGATATCATTTGAATTAATAATAATGTAAGTTCTATATAATTATATAGAACTTACACTATTATATACAGTATGAGTGCATTAAAATGTTAATCCGCTTGACTGTTTATTTTTTCCTTAGCTTAAACCAGAGCTTACTCAAATGTCTTTCGCAAGAAACTTTGGTGGCACAGATCAATTAAATATGTTATGTCAGGTTCATTTCAATGATGTAATAACAAAATTCCATGGCCGTATTAATCATTTCAAGAAATTTTCCGTTGAAGAACTTATAAAAGCGAATCTAGAGGATAAAAATGCCCGCCATTTAATGATTATAGGCAAGAGTGATTCTATAGTTAATATTTTAACATATAAATTGAGGCTATGGGGTAAAGAATTTTCAGAAAAAAACCCTAAATCTGATCAAATCAATACTTGGGATCTGGATCCGGTTATAATATATGGAAGTCAATTTCCTGATGATTTCGATGGAGATTATCAATATGGCATACTAAATCGTATTATGGTATGTAAGTTTCTAAAAAGTATTTAGACTCTGCGTTATGATCTGTATCAAATTTTTATGTTCTATTTTTAGATGTGCATTGAAGCTGGAAGACCATTAATTTTGACAGATCTCGAAATTATATATGGTACAGTAACCACAATAACGATAATAACAAATAAATTATGCCTCATTTCATCACATAAAGATATGGAATTATCCTGAATTATGGATGGGTCGGTTTCGGTCAGTAGCTGGTCATAACAAACGATACCAGGGCATAAGATCGATTTTCGTCACGTGATTTTTGACATCAGTTAGCCAATTAAAATCAGGATCAAGAGTAACGTAAAAAAAACGTTTGCTTTGCAAAAATCGCGTTTATCTCAAAATTTAGACTAATAAATTGCCTCTGTAACAAAAAATTTTCGTGCAATTTGTTTTCAACAATTGTCGATCGATCCTATGCTCTGTTAATTTCGTGATACTAATCGGTCAGAAATTTTAAATCGACCAGCTAAAAATTCTGACCGATACTATCGACATTTTAGGGTTTTAAGTTTATATTACCATTACAAATTCATAAAATACGTATTATTATAATCGTTTGGTAAGATAAAGATTTAAGGTTCTATTTAAGATTTTTTAATTAACTATTATAGTAGTACTTAAATCATTAAAAATAAATGATATAACGTTATTTAATAGTTGCTAATATAATTTCTTTATATATTTTGTAGTTGTGCAAAATTTCACTATATTGATATCAGATGAGCGATAACTCAGATAGTTGACAATAAATAGATGTATATATGCACTAATCTTAATTAAAGCTCTCAGGAATTAAGGATGGT